CTTGATGAAACTAAACTGTTGGAGTTTATTATAAGTCTTGAAGTAACACTCCAGTTATTTATGAGGTGGAGTATGTTAAGTTAAACACTCCCTCACAGTACACCTCAAGGAGTAGTTAAATCCAGGTAATGATCTCCCCTCAACACACACACACACACACACCTCCACCACCACGACCCACGCCGTGCCCGGGACCTCAGTTCGTCTCTACACAGACCTCCTCCACCCTCAGTGCTCCAGGGGGTCGTCTCTATACACCGCTGCGCCTCGTCGACCATAGTCTAATTCACCCTCTTAGTACACCAAAAAAAGAACGATAAGCTTTATCTCTGAAGGCAAGAGAGAGCGAGGCCACACGACCTCCTGTTGCGAGGGTCTCAGTACCTTTAGGGCGGAGGGACGGAAGGGCGGAGGGGCGGAAAGGCAGAAGGGCGGATGATAATATGTGCGACTTGTGGTGTATGGATAAATGGTATCTCTTATTTTTCCACCATTTTTTGTAAGAGCAAACTATAATACCCACGACGAGAGCTCCCTGTGTGTGTGTGTGTGTGTGTGTGTGTGTGTGTGTGTGTGTGTGTGTGTACGGAACAAAACATCTGAGGGAGAGATAGCATTGGTCGAGGAACAGTATGCCGGCTGATCTTTGTTGAGACTTGAACACCCATTGTAGATTATCTCTCTCTCTCTCTCAACCATTCATGTATACAGATAGAAATAGAGAGAAAAACGACAGAGATACATAGACAGAGAGAGACACAGAGAGACCCACACACAGGGACACACAGACAGACAGAAAAGAGATAGACTCACTCATTTGCATACGTGTTAATATTCTTCCCTGTCCATTCTTACCATTTAAGTCCCGCCACGAATAAGAATAATGAATATATAACTTTACCCCTTGTCTGTATGTCTCTCTCAATCAATTTCCTCTAATTTATTACACATTTCCTTCTGGGTTTTTTTTTTTTGTCCCTTATAAATAATATTCGTTGTGTATTTTATAACGTCCTCTTTGTCTCCGTGTACTAGTGGAGTGTACAGAGAATAATGAACGAAAATGAACACCTAGTTTAATAGAGTTTTTGTTCTTAAATTTATCGCCCCGTTTGGTAAATCATTCGTTGTATTTATTTACAATATACCGTCAAGAGACTAAATGTAACTATACCCAATACATGTGAACTTTAATACCGACAGTTGAGCGAATCACAAGAAAATAACCTCCAGGACTTGACATTCTGTTTAGGACTGACCATAAATGTTAATAGTGAATAATTGAGGAGGAATTTACAGGTGGATGGCTAACACATGTTCCTCCTCCTCCTCCAGCAGGCGAGGTGAAATATTCAAATGTACTTCACCAAAAAAGTTTCTCTTGCACAACTCTCTCTCTCTCTCTCTCTCTCTCTCTGCTGTGTGTGTGTGTGTACAGGCTAACAGTCATACAAACAACATAACATACAAGAATTAAACAAAATCCAAATATATGAAAATGAGACAAACAAGAAACACCAACATAAGACGTGAATAAGATGATAAGAATATGAAACACGGGAATAAAGAGGAGACGAGGAAGAAATGAAAGAAATGTAAAGCTTAGTAGACAGAGGATCAGTGTCTGTACAGGTGTTGGGGAGAGAGAGAGAGAGAGAGAGAGAGAGAGAGAGAGAGAGAGAGAGAGAGAGAGAGAGAGAGAGAGAGAGAGAGAGAGAGAGAGAGAGAGAGAGAGAGAGAGAGAGAGCCCATTGGTAGGACACTGGTGCTCTACTGTCAACAAGTACACCAGGATGATGTACTCATTTCTTACTGAGTGTACAAGTACCTGTGTACAAGATCCTAGTGTACAAGGAGTGAACTCAATCCTGCACAACACTCAGTAATCCACCTCCCTCCTACCCTCTCTCCTTTCCTCCTACCCTCCCTCCGTCTCTCTCTCCTTCCCACCATCTCTCCCATCCACCCACCATTTCTCCCTCCCACCCTCCCTAAAGCAATGATCAGATCTTGTAGAGCCAAAAGGTCACACAGCCAGGGAAGAAGGTCATTATTCTGGATGCCGACCTCAAGTAACAACAGCTCTCTCTGACCAAACATTTTCTGACATTTTATTTTTTTATTTATTTTTTATTACTATTTTTTTTAATATAACAAAAATCGTTGCCTCGTAAATACTTGAAATTGTTATTGTATTTAATTTATTTTATTTTTTTTTATTATTATTTACGAGGATGACTGTGCCCCTAGGAGAGAGAGAGAGAGAGAGAGAGAGAGAGAGAGAGAGAGAGAGAGAGAGAGAGAGAGAGAGAGAGAGCTGGGAGTGTTGTGTGGTTGAGTGAGGGAGAGAGACAGACAGACAGACCTGCCAAACCTACACCACTCACCAACACAACAGGACACAACACAACACAACACAACACAAATAAACTTCATAAAAATCTCTGAGAAATGACGTTTGTTTACATAATTTTCCCGGAGTAAAAAATAAAAATAAATAAAACGTCAAGAATTAATTATTAAGTCAACCTCAACTGCGAAAAATAATCGATTAAAAAAGTAACCAATTATGAAGACTTTTTTTTAACAAGTAACAAACCTCCATTTTAGACTTTTTTTTATTGGCTATTTTAGTTGTTTTCCGTCATAAATGCCAGACTAATTGGCGGCAGATAATAGTCGATGACGTTTTTCTTTTGTTTTCTTGTTTGTTTATAACGAAATAGTGGCAGGTGAGGGAAGAACGTCACACACACACACACACACACACACACACACACACACACACACACACACACACATACATACATACACACACACACACACACACACACCCCACACCACACACACACACACACACACACACACACACACACACACACACACACACACACACACACACACACACCCCAGCTCACACACACACACACACACACACACACACACACACACACACACACACACACACACACACACACACACACACACACACGGATCTTCAATATACTTTAGAATAGAACAGTGCCATATTATGACATCAGATTATGGTGCCATATTGTGATGAATGAAGAAGTGATGTGCTATTATATAAATATACTTATAATATGGCACTTTAGAGAGCTTTATACCTAGTAAAATAGGACCATAATATATATACAGTATCTACCCAATAATATAGGGCGTTAAAGTACAGTCAATATAACAGTGACATAAACAAAATAATATAATATACTCCCAAGTTATATCGGACCATAACAGACTATATAGGGCTCTACAGAGAGACATAATATAATATAGCCTCCCTCCCTCACTATATAAGTCCCACTAGGAAAGTCCAACGCCGGGAAACTTTCTTGAAAAATATGTCGCCTCAGAACGTTCATTTGGGCTTCTACCCCCCCTCCCCCGTGAGGTGCTGTTAGGGGTCCACCTATCCCCAGCCACCTACTCTCTGCCACCTATCCTCACACCTATTCTCTCACCCATTCTGCCACCTATTCTCTGCCACCTATTCTCTGCCACCTATCCTCTCCACCTACTCTCCCACCTGATCTCTGCCACCTATTCTCTGCCACCTATCCTCTGCCACCTACTCTCTACCTACTCTCTGCCACCTACTCTCACACCTATCCTCTGCCACCTATTCTCTGCCACCTATTCTCTGCCACCTATCCTCTGCCACCCTCTCTGCCACCCATCCTCTACCTCTGCCACCTATCCTCTGCCACCTACCTACTCTGCCACCTATTCTCTGCCACCCATTCTCTGCCACCCCCTATACTCTCTGCCACCTATTCTCTGCCACTACTCTCTGCCACCTTTCTCCTGCCACCTGTTCTCTACCCACCTGTTCTCTGCCACCTATCCTCTGCCACCTATCCTCTGCCACCTATTCTCCTGCCACCTATCCTCTGCCACCTATTCTCTCACAACCCCCTTACTCCATCCACCTCCCCTTCTTCCCTCCCCTCCTCCCCTACTCCTCTTCCCCCCCCTCCTCCTCCCCCACCCCTCCTCCCCACCCCCTACTCCTCTCCTCCTCCACCCCTACTCCTCTTCCCACCCCCTCCTCCTCCTTCCACCCCCACTCCTCTTCCACCCCCACTCCTCCTCCCACCCCCTCTCCTCCACCCCTATCCTCTTCCACCACCTCCTCCTCCTCCACCCCCTACTCCTCCACCCCCTACTCCCTCCCCTCCATACTCCTTCCATTCCTCCACCCCTACTCCCCCCCCTACTCCTCTTCCAGCCCCTCTCCTCCTCCTCTTCCACCCCCCCCTCCCTCCTCCACCTCCTCTGGGCCACCTATTTACTGCTCTTTGTGAAACAAAAAGTGAAGGAAGATTTTTATTGTTATCGTCGCTCATCGCTTACCTCCCGGCCCTTTGTTGCTCCCCACCTGGTGCTGGGGACAGGGAGGGGGAGGGGAGGGGTGAGGAGGAAGGGGCAGGGGGGAGGGAGGAAGGGAGGGGGGAGGGAGGGGAAGGGGAGGAGGAGGAGGAGCAGGTGAGTGAGGAGGAAGGAGGAGGGAGGAGGAGCAGGTGGGGAGGGAAGCAGGTGAGTGGAGCAGGTGAAGGGAAGAAGGGAAGGACAGGTGAGGGGAGGAAGGGAGGAGGATGGAAGTGGTGGTATAGGCAGGGATGGGAGGGATGTGTGGTGGTGGGAGAGGTGGAGAGGGTGTGGTTCAGGGATGTGATGGTGGAGGAGAGGCTGTGGTCGGGGATGTGATGGTGGTGGGGAGGTGTGGTCAGGGATGTGATGGTGGTAGGGTGGTCAGATGTGATGTGGTGGGAGAGGGTGTGGTCAGGGATGTGATGGTGGTGGGAGAGGGTGTGGTCAGGGATGTGTTGGTGATGTGTCGTGTGTTGGTGATGTTGTGGAGAGTGGAGGCAGCGACCTGGTACGTGTGGTGCGTCTCGTGATTTTTATTTTTTGTGTTTGAAGGAAAAATCTCTCTCTCTCTCTCTCTCTCTCTCTCTCTCTCTCTCTCTTCTCCCCCGTCAAGCCCCTCCCCACAGTGTCACAAGTTGCCGTCACCCAGTTCGTTGTCTCCCTTTAGGACCGAACTCGTGGCGGACGGGCGAGGCGGTGAACGAAGTCTATTCGGAGGTGGACGTTGTGTTCAGAGAGAAAGACTGTAAGTATCTCTGTGTGTGTCTTGGTCTTTCCTCTTATATTCGGTGTTCATGTGTTTCATTTCGGCTTTGTTTTGTGTTTACAGTTGTACGTGTTGACTCAAGTTGTGTTGTTGAAGATATAAGTAAGATGATTGTTGACATAATATTGAATTAATATATTATCGATGATTCTAAAAAAAAAAAAAAAACAGTCCGCTTAGTAATGTTTCTCTTCTTTCTGTCTATCTCTCCTTACAGACAGCAACTCAAAGGACTCCCCTGGAGGAAGAGATTCAGGGTCCTCCTTCGACCACTCCTTCAGCTACGACTCCGGTACGACCATCACCACAACCACCCCAAGCTCCGTTTTCTGTGCGGCCATTTTCTGTGTCAGAGTCTTGTGGGGGCAACTATGATAATCACGAAGGTCGTCCACACGTTCACTCCCACCTTCCACCACCCCGAGTATGGCTCACTCATGCCCCTCTTGTAGATGAAATTATAAGAAGAAAAAAAAATGAAAAGAAAAGAAAAAAACCTCATAAATTTACAATCATTTACTCGTCAACTTCACTAAGTTTGCTCAAATATTATTCCATTGTTTTTCTTCATCACCACGACAATCAGACCACTGTGAGGAAATAACCTAACGTTACCATACAATATTTATATGTTATGAGTCACTGAAAGAGAATAACCTCGATTCAACATAATAAAACCATCAAATTCTAGCATTCTTTTTCGATGGTTTAGTGTCATATAGTGCTTGATATGGCCGCTGGTTCGAGTAAACACCTTGAGACACTAGTTGGAGTAACACCTTGAATGGGTGTATAGTATTCAAGTGTGACGTTCTTCTACCCTTACTAATAATAATAATAATAATAATAATAATAATAATAAAACCTTCATTTCTCCTAAGTCTCCAAGTATTATCTGAAACACACAGCCATCACTAATAACTTACCATCTATTAACTAAACTTATAAATAAACATATATATATAAATAATAGCATTGTATAAGAGTCCTCCTTGTATATCTAAGACTTAAGCTTCTGTAATATAGCCGATTTTGACTTCTATAGACACTGTAATATAGTCATTTTTTGGACCAATGGTTATAATATAGGTGATCGTGTTATTGTGTTTTGATATGTTTAAGTCCATTGTGGTATATTAGTTATGATGATGATGTTTCTTGGCTGAGCTATATTGTTTTGGGGGTTATTGTGACGGTTTACCTGTAATTATCTCACCTGTCTCCTCTTCCCACACACCTGTCTCCTCCTCCTACAACCTGTCCCCTCCTTCTCTTACACACATGTCTCCTCTTCCCACACACCTGTCTCCTCCTTCTCCTCCTCCTCCTACAACCTGTCCCCTCCTTCTCTTACACATATGTCTCCTCTTCCCACACACCTGTCTCCTCCTCCTCCTCCTCCCCCACAACCTGTCCCTCCTTCTCTTACACACATGTCTCCTCTTCCCACACACCTGTCTCCTCCCCTCCACACACCTGTCTCCTCCTTCTCCTCCTACACACTTGTCCTCTCTCCTCCCTACACACACCTGTCTTTTCTCCATACACACCTGTCTCTTCTCCCCACACACCTGTCTCCTCCCCTACCTGTCTCCTCTTCCCACACACCTTTCTCCTCCTCCTACACACCTGTCTCCTCCTTCTCCTACACACCTGTCTCTTCCTCCTCCTCCAACACACCTGTCTTTTCCTCCTCCCTCCTACACACCTGTCTCCTCTCCATACACACCTGTCACCTCTCCCTACACACCTGCCTCCTCTTCCTACACACCTGCCTCCTCCTATACAAGTGGGTCCTCTTCTTCCTTCACAATTGCCTCCATGCTACCTCCTTCACACCTGCCTACCTCCTTACCCACACCTGCGCTACACCCTCCACACACCTACTACCCGCTACACCCTGCCACACCCTACCCACCCTACACCCCTGCCACCCTACCTACTACCCCACCACACCCTATCTACTACACCCCTCCCTACTACACTCCCGCCCACACCCTACCTACTACACCCCACACACACCCTACCCCGCTACACCTGCCCACACCCTACCTACACTCACACTTACACCCTACCTACTACACTCCACACACCTACACCCCACCACACCTACCTACTACACTCCACCACACACTACCCACGCTACACCCCGCCACCCTACCTACTCACCCCTGCCACACTCTGCCACTTCCCCCACCACACCTGCCTACCTCCACACCCTACTCGCTACACCCTGCCACACCCTACCCGCTACACCCTGCCACACCCTACCCGCTACACCCTACCTACTACACCCCGCCACACCCTACCCGCCACACCCTACCCGCTACACCCTGCCACACCCTACCTACTACACCCTGCCACACCCTACCTACTACACTCCGCCACACACTACCTACTACACCCCGCCACACCCTACCTACTACACCCCGCCACACCCTACACCCAGCTACAGGTGCCGTCACAATGTTGTCTTCATGTCTGTGCCAAAGATACACTATAAACTGTATATAGACACATGTTATAAAAGAACCTCGCCCGTGGCCTCACTTGTCTTGGCCACACTATAATGATGTACTTTAAGGAGTGGCCATAAAGGGAACCTCCCGGAGTGGCCAAATATTAATCGTCGAAAAGTGACCACAAATGAACTAGAAATGGACATATGTGGCTCGTCTATAAGTGGCCACAAATGAAATAAAAGTGAACATATGTGGCTAGTCTAAAAGTGGCCACAATTGAACTAGAAATGAACATATGTGGCTAGTCTAAAAGTGGCCACAAATTAACTAGAAATGAACACAATGGATCATCTATAAGTGGCCACAAATGAACTAAAAGTGAACATGTGTGGCTCGTCTAAAAGTGGCCACAAATTAACTAGAAATGAACACAATGGATCATCTATAAGTGGCCACACACATGAACAAAATGAACATAATGGATCGTTTAAAAGTGGCAACATATGAACAAAATGAAAATAGTGGATCGTCTAAAAGTGGCAACATATGAACAAAATGAACATAGTGGATCGTCTATAAGTGGCCATAAATCTACTAAAAATGAAGAGATGGATCAGAAAAGCTCACCTGACGGATCAACATCTTCTGATGAACACTTCCTGATCCTCCAATAACACCTTCTGATGAACACTTCCTGATCCTACAATAACACCTTCTGATGAACACTTCCTGATCCTACAATAACACCTCCTGATGAACACTTCCTGATCCTCCAATAACACCGCCTGATGAACACTTCCTGATCCTCCAATAACACCTTCTGATGAACACTTCCTGATCCTCCAATAACACCTCCTGATGAACACTTCCTGATCCTCCAATAACACCGCCTGATGAACACTTCCTGATCCTCCAATAACACCTCCTGATAAACACTTCCTGATCCTCCAATAACACCTCCTGATGAACACTTCCTGATCCTCCAATAACACCTTCTGATGAACACTTCCTGATCCTCCAATAACACCTGATGAACACTTCCTGATCCTCCAATAACACCTTCTGATGAACACTTCCTGATCCTACAATAACACCTCCTGATGAACACTTCCTGATCCTCCAATAACACCTTCTGATGAACATTTCCTGATCCTCCAATAACACCTTCTGAACACACCTGTAGGAGGGGCTGGCGGTGAGCTGTTACAAGACTACTACCAGGGAGACAACACTCAGGTTTACCAACAATAACTATTACATCTAACACCGGTGATAGGTGTTAGTTTCAGCAGGTGTTAGACTGAGCAGGTGTTAAGATTGAGCAGGTGTAAGACTCCTCAGCAGGTTGTAAGACTCATCAGGTGTTAGAGTGGGCAGGTGTTAAGATCAGCAGGTGTTAGACTCATCAGATGTTAAGATCAGCAGGTGTTAAACTGAACAGGTGTAAGATTCAGCAGGTGTAACACTCATCAGGTGTTAATTAAGATCATTAAACACCAAGGCAACATGATGTATTAAAGATATTCAGTCATAAGTAATGTACAGTGACGAATGTTTACTCACCAGGTCACGAAGGAGCCAAATGTTTATAATGTTCATATCATTAAGTCACCAAGAGTGTTTACGAGTCACCAATGTGCTGGTGCTACACTTACTGCCCTGTGTAGCACCAATCAGGACACCCAAAGCTTATACCATAACACTCAAGCACCACCGATATGTTATCTTGGTGTGTGTGTGTGTGTGTGTGTGTGTGTGTGTGTGTGTGTGTGTGTGTGTGTGCGGAAGCTTCAGTCACAAACTGCTTTCGCGGGAGAAGTGTAGAGTTCCCAACTTCCCTCGTCTGGCCGTCAATATTGGGGGTTCTGGCTGATGGACGGCGACCCTTCAGGTGATGGGCGGTCTGTGTGATAGTTGGTGTCCTCAGTAAGTATGGTGTTACAAGCAGAGATAACGACCCGCCTTACTGCTACCATATCACGTGTGTGTGTGTGTGTGTGTGTGTGTGTGGCTCAGGTCTCTCACAACCTGAACCTGTCTCGCAGTCTGTTGTTTCCTGATACTGTGATCTGTGGCACTGTGACCTGTGGCACTGTGACCTGTGGCCCTGTGACCTGTGGTACTGTGACCTGTGACCTGTGGCAGTGACCTGTGGCCCTGTGACCTGTGGCACTGTGACCTCTGGCACTGTGACCTGTGGCCCTGTGACCTGTGGTACTGTGACCCAGAAGTGTGTGTGTGTGTGTGACCCGGGTTACCAGGCAGCGTGTTATAGCTCGGCTCTGTGTCCTGTCACGTTAGGTACAGTAGTGTAAAGAGTATCTGTACATAGATAAACATCACTTCTAAGTCTCTTCTATGTTCTTGTTCATAAGCATCAATTATATGAAGTAAAACTACCAGTCGTGTATCATTATTACCACCCTCCTAGAGAGAGAGAGAGAGAGAGAGAGAGAGAGAAAATATAGTTCAAAAGAGAAAGAAAAAAGAGAGATTAAAAGACACAGAAAGAAGACAGACAAAGAAAAAGGACAGATTAAAATAAAAGACAAAACAGAAACAAAGAAAGGAGAGAAAGAAAAGAAAAAGAGAGAGGAAAGGAGAGAAGTAAACAGTCGATCCCCTTCAACTGAGAACATTTAGTAAGGTAAGAGACGAATCTAATTAATACTCTCACCTTCCTATCAATCACACCTGAGACAACAACAACACCTGAATCTATGAAGTGAAACCTTACCTTAACACACCGCTAATTACCTTACACACCACTAATGGACGAGTTGTCGGTCGGAATTTTTTCGTAAATGGCAGGTCAATGGGTAAAGAAAACGCTTAAATTCACTATGGTAATGATGTTTTAAAATCAATTTGGCCAAAAAGTGTCAAAATTAAGGGTTAAAGTTGCTAAAAAGTCATGTGACTACGAAAAGCTCAGTGATTGGTTGTGACGTCACAGACTAGCGCGAGCAGCCGAGTGGAAGCACGGAGGCAGCCAGTTGAGGTGCATTTATTTATTTATTTATTTATTTTTACGGGGATTAGCCCACCCGGGCACAGGTCAATGACCCACATCAGGGCCGGGGGGGGCAAAAATATTATTATAATAATAATAATAATAATAATAATAATAATAATAATAATAATAATAATAATAATAATAATAATAATAATAATAAATATAATAATAATAATAATAATAATAATTAATAATAATTAATAATAATAATAATAATAATAATAATAATAATAATAATAATAATAATGAATAAATAAAAAAGTAAAAATAAAAGATCAATAGTGAGAAACAATATATGAATGTTGTGTTGTCAAAGAGAAACAATTGAGACCCTGCAATTGTGTGTAAATGAGGCAGAAAGTCAGATCAGCAACCTGGGACTTGGTCACAATTTTTGTGATGCCATATGGCAGCAGGGTCTACTATTAAACAACACATTATGCCTCCAATGTGTTGTTACCAGCAGAAATACTGGACTTGTGGCCATATAGTGTTTCTGACTATTGTTATATTTGTATATATACCCTAGTTCTTTATTTTTATTATTATTACAATGTTATTATTATTATTGTTATCATTATTATATTAGTTTACTTTTTATTGTAAATTTCATTTACTATGAATAATTAGTACAGCCCCCCCGGCCCTGATGTGGGTCAGTGACCTGTACCTGGGTAGGCTAATGCCCGTAGAAAAAACAAGATAAATAAATAAATAAATATAAAAAAATATACAATGTTGATACAGATATACACAGTCATACCTTATTCTTAGGTGAAAATAAATTACTGCTCAAGTATCATCGTGTGTGTTTACTTACTGGCTGCCACAATGATGCAAAAGACCGATAACTCCAACATGGAAGTTTTCATCACTGTTCTCTATTTCATGTCTGGAAAATATAAGTTTTCGTCACTGATGTCTATATTTAATGTTGTGGAAGGACTAATGACCATGGCCAGGGCTTGAGATGATCAGATGACAGATGTAATTTAACGTGCTTCATAGCTGGATGGCCGAGTTCTTGATAATACTGTAAACTGGTAAACTTCTTTCATCTGCCTTGATAAACCCTGGAAGTAGTTGTCCAATCTTCTTGGCTGATCGGCTCGGTAAGAAATATTATTAGATAATTAATTGTGCTTTACTGTGCAACACAGTAATACTATATTGCAGAAAAAATATTACTAAGCACATTAATTAATTCAATGGATATTAGCTGCCCCTACTACAAATTTCATAGTGTAAACATTCCAAACAATATTGGTAATATTTTGGTTTTGGTCATCTGGGGAACCTTAAGATTCTAACTATGGGATTAAGTACTTTAAACAATAAGACACATGATCTCTACGGGATTTCTGTAGAAAAACATTTTCGATCGCATAAGAAAATATAGGTCATAGGTCATAGGTTAGGTTAGGTTGGGCATGATAACTTTTATTATAAGTAATAAGATTAGCTTAACATACACTGGTAACGGGGAGCGGTGGGGGGGGGGTTAGTAGCTCAAAACTAGCGATTTCCGATAGAAATAAAGGTCTAAATCGTCCATAACACATCGTAAACCACCAGAAAAAACCAGTCTGCATGTCTAAGTACAGGGATGACCAAAACCTAAAATTTACCCAATATAGCCTATCACGAATCTAAACGTCCAAATACTTATGGTAGATATAGTAAAATTTTACCATTAATTAATATAAATGATGTTATATCTTAGTGGTTCATTAGTGAAGCATCAAAACTATAACAGCACTATGTTGTCATGTTTACCTAGCATCAGGCATTCTCGTAATAAAGTCCAGACAATGTCATTACTTCTAAATTGACTCGTACCTCCAACTTTGCGTCGTCTGCAGGGAAGGTGGTGACGCCAATGCGAATGGCGGCCCTGTTTCTAGATAAATAAACTTATTTCGACTATTATAGCAGGATTTTAAACTTTTATTACAAATTATATATACGGTACCAATAAGAACGTGGCAGAGTGTATTTCTTGTGTTTACCCAGAACCGTCAACTCATCCATTACCTTACACATCACTAACTACCTGACTACCTAACTACCTGACACACCACTAATTACCAGGACACCGTATAGGTATTGAGTATTGATGGGCAATTAATAACCCTCTAGGTAACCGTAACACAATACAGGTATATGACTTTAATTAATCAACCCCAACAGGTAACTGACAGGTGTAAAGTCCATTATAACACTACTGCTTAAGGAGGTAAAGGAGTGTTCTGACGTGACACCTATAACTCACAAGGTTCTATAACACCTCAGTACCGTCACCTATAACTCACAAGGTTCTATAACACCTCAGTACCGTCACCTATAACTCACAAGGTTCTATAACACCTTAGTACCGTCACCTATAACTCACAAGGTTCTATAACACCTCAGTACTGTCACCTATAACTCACAAGGTTCTATAACACCTAAGTACCGTCACCTATAACTCACAAGGTTCTATAACACCTTAGTACCGTCACCTATAACTCACAAGGTTCTATAACACCTCAGTACTGTCACCTATAACTCACAAGGTTCTATAACACCTCAGTACCGTCACCTATAACTCACAAGGTTCTATAACACCTCAGTGCTGTCACCTATAACTCACAAGGTTCTATAACACCTCAGTGCCGTCACCTATAACTCACAAGGTTCTATAACACCTCAGTACCGTCACCTATAACTCACAAGGTTCTATAACACCTTAGTACCGTCACCTATAACTCACAAGGTTCTATAACACCTTAGTACCGTCACCTATAACTCACAAGGTTCTATAACACCTTAGTACCGTCACCTATAACTCACAAGGTTCTATAACACCTCAGTACCGTCACCTATAACTCACAAGGTTCTATAACACCTCAGTACCGTCACCTATAACTCACAAGGTTCTATAACACCTAGTGCCGTCACCTATAACTCACAAGGTTCTATAACACCTCAGTACCGTCACCTATAACTCTGGTTCTATAACACCTCAGTACCGTCACCTATAACTCACAAGGTTCTATAACACCTAGTACCGTCACCTATAACTCACAAGGTTCTATAACACCTCAGTACCGTCACCTATAACTCACAAGGTTCTATAACACCTCAGTACCGTCACCTATAACTCACAAGGTTCTATAACACCTCAGTACCGTCACCTATAACTCACAAGGTTCTATAACACCTCAGTACCGTCACCTATAACTCACAAGGTTCTATAACACCTCAGTACCGTCACCTATAACTCACAAGGTTCTATAACACCTCAGTACCGTCACCTATAACTCACAAGGTTCTATAACACCTCAGTACCGTCACCTATAACTCACAGGGTTCTATAACACCTCAGTACCGTCACCTATAACTCACCTATAACACCTAGTACCGTCACCTATAACTCACAAGGTTCTATAACACCCAGTACCGTCACCAGTACCGTCTTACTATAACTCACAAGGTCACCTATAACTCTGAGGTTCTATAACACCTCAGTACCGTCGTCACCTATAACTCACAAGGTTCTATACCGTCACCTCAGTACCTCGAGGTATTACCGTCACCTATAACCTCACAAGGTTCTATAACACCTGAGTACTGTCACCTATAACTCACAAGGTTCTATAACACCTGAGTACTGTCACCTATAACTCACAAGGTTCTACAACACCTTAGTACCGTCACCTATAACTCACAAGGTTCTATAACACCTCAGTACCGTCACCTATAACTCACAAGGTTCTACAACACCTCAGTACCGTCACCTATAACTCACAAGGTTCTATAACACCTCAGTACTGCCTATAACTCACAAGGTTCTATAACACCTACCGTCACCTATAACTCACAAGGTTCTATAACACCTCAGTACCGTCACCTATAACTCACAAGGTTCTATAACACCTCAGTACCGTCACCTATAACTCAAAAGGTTCTATAACACCCAGTACCGTCACCTATAACTCACAAGGTCTTATAACACCAGTACCGTCACCTATAACTCACAAGGTTCTATAACACCTCAGTACCGTCACCTATAACTCACAAGGTTCTATAACACCTCAGTACCGTCACCTATAACTCACAAGGTTCTATAACACCTCAGTACCGTCACCTATAACTCACAAGGTTCTATAACACCTCAGTACCGTCACCTATAACTCACAAGGTTCTATAACACCTCAGTACCGTCACCTATAACTCACAAGGTTCTATAACACCAGTACCGTCACCTATAACTCACAAGGTTCTATAACACCTCAGTACCGTCACCTATAACTCACAAGGTTCTATAACACCTCAGTACCGTCACCTATAACTCACAAGGTTCTATAACACCTCAGTACCGTCACCTATAACTCACAAGGT